AGGAAAATCCCGCCGTGTAATCTATTTATTTCAACAAAGTAACTGTAATCCAATTACCACTCACTGAAACAGTAACTGTAACTGAATACAGTTACTCATAATTTGTACTCTGATTACATAACTCCGGTACATGTAATCTGTTCCTCCCCAACACTGTACTACACACACAATACTACAAACACATAGGACACACACACATTACACTGTACAGTGTGTTTGTGTAAAGACACCACTCTCCAACTCTCAGAGGAGAACAGGAGCTGCATCTAAAGAAAAGTGCAACATCTGAGGAAAAAGTATCAATGTGCGGTCCATAATACACGCTCTTCAAACATCTCCCCTCCATACATATGCACAAGCTCACACTGACGCCTCAATAAACACACACATGTTGTTCTAATACTATAAAAAGCCCTCGCAGTATCCACCTGTAGTCGTACAAATAACAGCTTTTATAACGTAGCAACGCAATCACCTGGAGTCACCTGATGAGTTAATGGTATATGGCAAAGCTAAACGTTTCCATGGAGACAAGCAGATGTCACAGAGTCTACCTGAAAAGTTCCATAGTACTTTCTTCAGCACCACAAAACGGCCAGTATCTGGGCTCACCAGACGCTGTTGGGGGTGAGTCAGTGTTGATGCACGACACTGCTCACGGGGATGACACACAGATTTATGTCAAAAATCCCAAACTATCCCTTTAAGTCTCTGTGACAAAATTGCCCTTAAGTGATTTTAGTCACTGATTTACATTGGAATATTGTGTCTGGTCTCTCTGTGGCTGCTGCTGTGGCCTCGGCGTTTTGGTCATTTAAATGTTGGTATTAACCTGCGACACAGGATGTTATTCCACTATGATGGAGCCTTTGTCCTGTCTGGTATCATGTCGGTGTTTTGTGAGATTTCAGTGGATTTCGGGTTCTTCCGGGGGCGGGGCTAGTGGTATCACTCGATCGAGTTTGGGTTTATATCGGCTGTTGGGGTTTGAGACATTTCTTCTCGTCGTTTGCGCGCTCGCTGCATTTGACGCATGTGACTGTTGAGACGTGTCCCGCTCACTCGTGTTGATTCGGTATCGTGACTTGTTTTGGCACTCTGCGATGAACTGTCACTGTGTTTTGTCACTCTGACAGCGGCGCTTGTGTTTGCAGCTTCATGTTCAGCGCACAGACAGCGGTGCTTTCTGCACTCAGCGTCATTACACTTGTTAAACGAGAGGAGTCAGAGAGCGATAGAAACCTTCTAACATTCACCAAACAACAAACAAGCATGCAAATAGAATTTATCACAGTCGGAAAAGTTATTGAGCTCGTTAAAAGTTATTGTACGATTAATTGATTTATTGATGATCGTTACATGTATACTTGGTGCTGTGTTTTGTTTCATTCATACGTTTAAAACAAACTCTGCATATTTAGACTGAGTTCTTCTCTCAAACAGAAAACAGTCTGACCCTGTTTGCACTGAAACAAATCCACGTATCACCGTATCATCATATCGGAAACGATCTGTGTCCACACACGTCGTTTCTGTTTTCGCAAGTCTTCCCTATCCACACAGCTTTGAGCATATTTGTTTACGTTTTACAGCGATGAAACTTAAAACTACATGGCTCATTTGCATAAACTGAGCGCTCAAAAAACAGCTCGCTATTGTGCGCTGATGTGGTTCAGCTTCTGTCAGACTAAAGGACAGGACTCAGTGGAATATGAGTGTTCTTTCTGTGACAGAGGGGTGTTCTGCTGATGGTGAGTCTGTTTGTGTTTCTGTTGCGTTGGAGATGGTTCATGTTAAACTTTTCAGAGAGATTATACGTCTGCAGGTCGTACACACAGACACACGTTTATATGAATGGACATATATTCAAATCTCTTAGTGTTTTGGAGGTGAATTACTTCGTGGCGCACAGAACTACATCAGAGTATCAGTGTTTTCAGGCGTCCACACAGAGCTGGATCAGATCTGTACTGCTTTAAAGTCACCTGGCGGCAGCGCGCAGTGATACGAACGGAAAGAAAATAGTGCCAAGCGATTATGAGGTCTGACTTTTTAGGCGACGATGGTTTTGTGATGCAAATGTATCACTCTTTTGAACACAGATTGTTTTGAGAAGAAAAATGCTTTATTATACAGTCCCCAGACAACTTGCCGAACTACTTTTGCCAGCACCGAAAAACGGCCAGTATCTCGGCTCACCGGACGCTGTCGGGAGTAAGTCAGTGTTGATGCACGACACTGCTCACGGGGATGACATACAGATTTATGTCAAAAATCCCAAACTATCTCTTTAATAATCCATTTTATTTAATGCTTTGGTTGTGTTTGGTTCAACAATGGTTTATTCAAGTGTATTTTTGTGAACAAGTCCTCGCTGTCAGTCAGACTATTTTTATTTAGGCCTGTTGTTTTTGTTTGTCTTACAGTTCCTGTGTTAAATGTTGTTTAGAAAGTAAGGTTTATTGATCTTTGAAAGGGTGTATTTGCATTTTTATTCCATGGTCATTATAATAGTTGAAAATGGTCTTAAAATGTCAATATTATCGTTTATCGCAATAAATTTTTGGTCATGTAATCGTCCAGCAAAATCTGTTATTGTTACAGGTCTTTTATGATGAGGAAACTACAAAAGACTACACAGAAAACAGCGTAATATGTGCCCTTTAAATATAGAAAGTATTTTTTAGCCAGTGTCTGTAAGTGTCTGTGCACATACTCGTACTCTCCGCTCACGTACACACTTCAGTTTTTCTCACCTTGGACAAATCCTTCAGATTAATGTATCATTTCTTCTTCACGGCACAGAGCTTTTCAATCCTTCACAATCGTGTTAGTTCTTCTATTTTTCAGCGATTTGATAAAAACTGCAACCTTTCTTTTCACAAACTCCTCTCCTTGACTTTCTAATGAACACGGGACATTTGAGGCGTGGGCACCGCGGCGACCAGTTCAAATAGAGCTGAATAAAAAGATCGAAAATGTAAAGGTGTAAACTGTTAAAGTGAAATGTTGGGTGTGTTCGTTTAATACTGTGGTTTGGTAAAAGCTTGGAGGCATTAAGCAAAGTCATCACCCTGTTACAGAAAGGTTGATGGTTTGAATCCAGCCCAATTCATCATGTATGCTGAGTTTTTGGGCAAGACACTAGACCCCCACCCCCCGGCTTGGTTCAGTCCTGGTTAAAGCCTGGTTTAGACCTGGTTTAGTCTTGGTTTAGTCCTGGTTTTAGTTCTGGTTTAGTCCTGATTAAAGCCTGGTTTAGTCCTGATTTAGTCTTGGTTTAGTCCTGATTTAGTGCTGGTTTAAAATTGGTTTAGACCTGGCTTAGACCTGGTTTAGAGCTGGTTTAGACCTGTTTTAGTCCTGGGTTTAGTCCTGGGTTTAGTCATGATTTTAGTCCTGGTTTAGACCTAGATTTAGACCTATTTTAGACCCGGTTTTAGTCCTGAATTTAGTCCTGGTTTTAGTCCTGGTTTTAGTCCTGGTTTAGTCCTGGTTTTAATTCTGGTTTAGTCCTGGTTTTAATCCTGGGTTTAGTCCTGATTTTAGTCATGATTTTAGTCCTGGTTTAGACCTAGATTTAGACCTGGTTTCAGACCTAGTTTTATTCCTGGTTTTATTCCTGGTTTAAACCTGATTTAGACCTATTTTAGACCCAGTTTTAGTCCTGACTTTAGTCCTGGCTTTAGTTCTGGTTTAGTCCTGGTTTTAGTCCTGATTTAGTCCTGGTTTAAGTCCTGATTTTAGTCCTGGTTTAGTCCTGGTCTAGTCCTGGTTCAGTCCTGGTTTAGTCCTTGTTTTAGTCCTGGTTTAGAGGCGTGGTCCACACAGTTTTTTATCAGTAGTACAAAGATGACAGATGCAGTAGTACATGTTCTACAGTAGTACTGCGTGTGGGCAAAAGCAGACCAGACCACCAAACGGAACTCAAACATAATCACTTAGTTTCAATCCAGTGTGTGTTTTGATCGCAGTCGTTTCAGAAGCGCTGGTCTGGCCGCTCCTGCATATTACATACATACATACATACATAGTCTCATATACATATACATGTATTCCTCCCCCTCACTCCCCCCGCAGTCCTCCAGGCACTGCCCAGTTTAACAGCTCTGTTTGAATGGAGGCTGTGGGCGTAGTTCAGCTGTTTAGTCTGACGTTCAATAATTAAAAACCTTCACTGTGTTGAATCAATGTTTAAACGACCACAATCACGTTTTCCTTCCTCATAAACGCTCTCTGCATTTTGGATGGAACCTCCCATGTTTTTCTGTTTTAAATCTCAGAGCTACTTCCTGTATTTTTGTACTTTCCTTTACCCCTAAAGCTGTCACTGGACTCATGTAGAATTAGAACATTAATATTAAACACAGACATGATGCACTGTAAAGACGGAGTTTTACACTTGTGTGGGGTACAGTGTAGGCTTACGGGCAAAACATTGGACAGAATCTTACAGCTCATCATAAGGAGGGTTTGAACAAAGCCTGGGAGAGATCGCGAGATGACTTAAACATGCATGGATGATGTCTAAGCCTCTTCAGACGTGTTTTTGATGATGGAATGACATTAAAACATGATAGAAAGCTCCAAAAAGTGGATTTTGCAGAAGACATGATTAGGAGAAAGTCAAAGTGTTTCCACGTTATCAGGTTCTTTTTTCAGCCCAAGTCTTGTTTTGTTTTCATACCTGACAGTTTGGACTGCTCACTAGCGCGCTTCCTCAGAGTGGTCACCTGATGTTGCTGTGACGTGTCACTCAGGTTTATTTATACAGGTTTTGGTGCTATCTTCCTACCGGTGGAGGCACGACGTACCAAAACCTGTATAAATCTGTATAAAACACGCCACAGCAACATCACGTGACCACTCTGAGGTAGAGCGCTAGTGAGCAGTCGATACTGTCAGGTATGAAAACAAACTCTTGGTCTGTAAAAAGAACCTGATAACATAAAGTGTTGGAAGACCAAATGAATCTCATTGGACTGAAAGTGTTTCCGTACCAGGCACTGGCACTGCTGACAGTTGTCCACCCATGTGTCGCCGCTGCTGTAGGTGAGCAGGCCGCTCTGGTGCAGACACTGGCTGCTGAGGCGAGGGTCACACTCGGGGCAACAGAACAGGTCTGCGTTTGGGTTATCGCAGTCACACACCATCCTCCTGCACATCACCTGACCCGCCTGCAGGGGGAGAGGGGAGAAGAGATTAAAGACGGTCAACACCTTTTTGTCCATGTGGCTGAGCATGACTGCTCTGTCAAAGTACAGATGTATCATAAGCAGTAGCCTGGATCTACTGTATTTTTTTTTATAATAACTACACCTTATTTAGCCTTAATAAAGCATGAACAAAGACTTAATTAATAATGATTCACACTTAGTAACTACTTAATTACTACCTGAATTAGCACTTAACTTGTACTTAATTCACCTGTGCTGTAAATAGTTACTCAATACTTCTTTATTACTCATGAACTAATCATTTGCATGTTTACAAATGCATATTTAATTACACATTTGAGCATTTATTAATCATTAATAAGCTATGAGAGAATGATTTACTAATAATGCAATGATCATTCAGCTGTTATCTGTTAGTTAAATCTTTTTGAGAGTTTTTCTAAAGTGAAGACTAATTATGCTTTATTAAATATTTGTTAAGGTTGGTCAAATTCCAGAGAAACAATAATGCATTACTAGTAAATTATTCTCTCGTGGTTTACTAATCATTAATAAATGCTCAAATTTGGACTTAAATATAAATTTACAAATGCACACACAAATAGTTAGTTCATGAGTAATTAAGTAAGAAATACTTATGAGTAACTATTTACAGCACAGGTGAATTAAGTGCAAGTTAAGTGCTAATTCAGGTAGTAATTAAGTAGTTACTAAGCGTGAATCATTATTAATTAAGTCTTTATTCATGCTTTATTAAGGCTAAATAAGGTGTAGTTATTATAAAGTGTTACCATTTTTTGGACTATAATGCACACTTAAAATCATTTTAAAAGCAATTTTATGTGGTATGGTCAATAATCTGTCAAAATGTTTTAGTATGACTTTGGTAAATTACAAAGCCACACCACTTGATGGATTGTCGGAGCATTACAGCTACTGTAGTCAGGAGCCTCGCAAAGTAAAACACATTCACCAAGACAGAGAGACAACGCCAGGAGAGTTACACCATGATCTGCAAATGGATTGTAGACGCCTGGGCAAAGGATCCGTCTCAAGTGTCGTCCAAGCTTACTTGAAGGCACAAACCATCACTGCACATCGAAGTAACAGAGACGAGATAATGACGAGAGGGATTCGGGCTTGATGTGAAATGGCCCAACTGTTAAACTCAGACATTGAAGATGAAGAATTTGATGGATTTGTGGAAGAGGAATGAACTGAAAAAGTGAGTGTATTGTTTTGTATTTTATGTTAAAACTGAACAATGTTGAGAGTTTTTGTGAATGAGATGAGTAAAGTTTGATTTCTCTGACTGTTTTGTTTCACTTAATGCACCTTGTAATTCTAAAGCCTTTTAGGACATACACTCTTAGCTTTACTGTGCTCTGAATGTTCTGGAACAAGCTTTTTAAATTTATCATTGTAAATAATTAAGATGGTAGAAATGCTCTGTAAAGTGAGCACTAAGTTTGAACCTCTGCAAACCTTTAAGTGAATCTGACAAATGTTGACAGTCAGATCAGGACGGTCCATGTACCATTTGTTCTTTTGAATTTGAATGAAGGACAAAAACAATAAAATGGGAAAAAGGTTTGTTATTTCATTATTCCGTTTTAGTGTCAAACAAAAAACAAACAAACAAAAAACAGATTTTAACCTCTATTTCCAATATTTAATTTAAAGTGTATTTCAAATAACACCAGTCAAAAAACAGTGTCAGTGCCTGTTTTGATTTTGATATTTTATTCTCTCGGGTTTATTTGCCCTGGAAGTCGTGCTGCTGGAAGGATTTACCTGAAAAATCGTTTTGTGTCCTCGTCTTTTATGCCTTTACTTTCACATCTTAGAAAGAATGAAATAACTTCATGACGGGAAACAGGAAGCAGCGATAAACTCTTCTTTGTTCAATTGACACTGAATTCAAAGGCGGAGCTGAGCAGCCGAACTTCAGATAAACCAGAGAGAATAAAACATCAACATGAATTGAAATAAACGCAATAATGTTTTTTGATTGGTGTTATTTGAACTAAACTTTAAATTTGATATAAATGTTGAAATCTGGGGGTTTATTTGACACTGAAACGGAATAATGAAATAAACTGTTTTCCTATTTTATTGTCTTGTGTTTTTTATTGAAATTCAAAAGAACAAATGGTACATGGAGCCAGGACTCGTGTAGATTTCACATTTTTATACTGAATGAAGTCCTCAGCTGCTTCTGAAAGTTCACACTTGACCAGGATTGGTTAAATCCACTTGTCACTCACTCAGACGGACCAATAAGAGGAGGCAGTGAGGAAGAACGTCTGTTTAACGAACTTCATCAACGTCATCCAATGTCAAATGTCATGTTTTTACATAACAAACCCAAACCTACTGAATTTTCTTAAAGAGATAAATCTAGTGTCTCTGTGTCATGAACAAGCAAGTAACATCACCAGTCAGATCTGTGCAGTGTTGGGGAGTAACAGATTACATGTACCGGAGTTATGTAATCAGAGTACAAATTATGAGTAACTGTATTCAGTTACAGTTACTGTTCCAGTGAGTGGTAACTGGATTACAGTTACTTTTTTGAAATAAATTACATATATAATACATATATGATACAGATTACACAGCGGTATTTTCCTGTTTTCACATTTTGGCCTATATCCCTTTTTTGTTTTTTTCCCCCAGTAATTCCACTCATTGCCAGACACTAAACCAGGTCTAAAACCAGGTCTAAACCAGGTCTAAACCAGGTCTAAAACCAGGTCTAAACCAGGTCTAAACCAGGTCTAAACCAGGTCTAAACCAGGTCTAAACCAGGTCTAAAACCAGGTCTAAACCAGGTCTAAACCAGGTCTAAAACCAGGTCTAAACCAGGTCTAAACCAGGTCTAAAACCAGGTCTAAACCAGGTCTAAACCAGGTCTAAAACCAGGTCTAAACCAGGTCTAAACCAGGTCTAAAACCAGGTCTAAACCAGGTCTAAACCAGGTCTAAAACCAGGTCTAAACCAGGTCTAAACCAGGTAACCAGGTCTAAACTAGGTCCAAACAGGTCTAACACCAGGTCTAAAACCAGGTCCAAACCAGGTCCAAACCAGGTCTAAACTAGGTCTAAAACCAGGTCTAAAACCAGGTCTAAAACCAGGTCTAAAACTAGGTCTAAAACAGGTCTAAAACCAGGTCTAAACCAGGACTAAACCAGGTCTAAAACAGGATTTAACAGGATTTAACAGGACTAAATCATGCCGCGTGGACGTGTCTCCTCGTCTTCTATCAATAATATTTTTAATTTGGTTAAATAAAGTCTGGGCATTTTTATTGTGTTTTATCAGACAAAACGTCTTATGTGACGATTTCCTCGTCTTTGCTTCTCTACAGCAAATCAAGTAATTCAAAGTATTCAGATTACGTTACTCACTTTAAGTAATTTAGTGGATTATGTTACAAACTACATTTTGGTGTATGTAATCTGTAATCTGTAGGGGAATACATTTTAAAAGTCACCTTCCCAACACTGGATCTGTGGAGAGGCGTGTATTTCAAAGTATTTTATTAGCCTTTCATTAGTAAGAAAACATGCTTAATTAAATAAATGCAAAACAGATACGATTCTTGTCATACCGTGGAACATTCGAGGAAAAGAGCGTCCTGTGCATCATTTGTGCAGCCTATAGCTTTGTGTTTGCTTTAATGTAAACATGCATATAGACAGGGCCTTATGTTTTACAGTGTCATTAAACTTGTATGTAGCATAAATAATGGAGTGAACCCTATGGAGCTCGTCAGCACACAGTGTTCTGAAGCTGTTTTATGGCCAGTCACAGGCGCGCCGGAATAACATATGTTTGATGAATACTGATGCTGTTCTGCTTTCACTTCATTTGACTCATGTGCACCTATTTCACTGATTTAATGCTACACTATGGAACTTCTCTGGCTGAGGATACACCATATGCTTGTCTCCTGTGATGTATTATTGCTGTGCCCAGAATATTCCACAGTATGGCATTCAGTGTTGGGAAGGTGACTTTTCAAATGTATTCCCCTACAGATTACAGATTACATACCCCAAAATGTAGTTTGTAACTTAATCCATTAAGTTACTTAAAGTGAGTAAAGTAATCTGAATACTTTGAATTACTTGATTTGCTGTAGAGAAGCAAAGATGAGGAAATCGTAACATAAGATGTTTTGTCTGATAAAACACAATAAAAAGTCCAGACTTTACTGAACCAAATTAAAAATATTATTCATAGAAGAGGAGGAGACACGTCCACGCAGCAGGATTTAGTCCTGTTAAATCCTGTTTTAGACCTGGTTTAGTCCTGGTTTAGACCTGGTTTAGAACTAGTTTAGACCTGGTTTTAGACCTGGTTTTAGACCTGGTTTAGAACTGGTTTTAGAACTGGTTTAGACCTAGTTTAGACCTGGTTTTAGACGTAGTTCACACCTAGTTTGGACCTGGTTTGGACCTGGTGTTAGACCTGGTTTAGTCCTGGTTTAGACCTGGTTTTAGACCTGGTTTAGACCTGATTTAGATCTAGTTTAGGGGGGTTGTAATCCATTTATTTCTGTAAAGTAACTGTAATCCAATTACCACTCACTGAAACAGTAACTGTAACTGAATACAGTTACTCATAATTTGTACTCTGATTATGTAACTCCGGTACATGTAATCTGTTACTCCCCAACACTGCATGCAGGATATTTCATATATGACGTTACATTTCTGTTCTGGTTCTATTTTCTCTTTTGGGTGGACGAGTATTTGCCTGAGTTTTCTGTTCGGTGTGTTCATATTGTATTTTGTCATTGCCCTCTGCACTTTTTCTGTTATGCCCCTGATGTACGGTGATGTTGCCATGCCTTTTTTTCCATTTTATTTTTGTTTTTGCTGGTTCTATTTTTCTGTTTTTTGTTTTGTTGTTTGAGTGGTCTGAAAAAAGAACCTAATAACAGGAATTATCGAAAGACTAAGGCTGCGTTCACACTGCAGCCTGAAGTGACC